AAACCATGTTAGTATGATAGCTAACTACTGCTGGTCACTTAAACGTGAAACTGATGACTCTCAATAATTATTGAAGCATGCAAGGACATTTTAAGTAGGCTGGGCTACCCAAAGGAGTTGCGGACTGATAATGGTAGGGAATACATAAGCGGGGAATTTCGGAACTTTTGCAAATCGTGCGGCATTGAGCAAATCACAACACCACCTTATTGGCCACAGACAAATGGTGAAGTAGAAAATATAAACAAAGCCCTAGTCAAGCTTATTAAGATAGCCCATATGCACAATAAGGACCTAAAATATGAAATCCAAACCTTTACACTCATGTACAATATCACGCCTTATGGGACGACAGGCACGCCTCCAACAGAATTAATGTTCAACAGAATACAAGATTTAGTAAGAGAGTTTGCCGATTCAGCAGAAAGGGATAGAGATTGTGTAAATAAAGAAACAGGAAGAGAAATGGAAGACAAAAGAAAGAGAGCAAAGAAAGTAAACGTAAACATCGAAGACAAAGTGGTCCTCCAGAATGTAGTTTTTCCCCACAAACTTACACCTAACTTCGACACCACGAAATATGAGGTGATAAAAAAGACAGTTACATGAGAAACATGAGATCCTGTTACTAGGTTTAGTTTTGATTTCGGCACTCAAAGCGAACAAAAAAAAAATGAATTGCAGAATCAATTACTTTTAACTTTAAGGGGTTATATACAGTTGTGATATATGAAAAAATCGATTTATTGCATTTATTGATTTTATTGCATATTCTTTAAGTATATTTTATTGGGAATACTCTCACAAAAATTCATAACGATCGGAGCATTAAAACCGAAGCTGTAGCTATTTATAGCGCACTATCTGCATATAAAACTTGAACAAACTTGAAACTTTAAACGCGATTATCTCAGAATCTTTTTTTTGGGAAATTACCTTTGCGGTGGACACGATTACTAAAAAACTACTAATCCGATCAACACCAATTTTTGACCACTTATTTATTATGATATTAGCTAGTCCGTGAACAAGGGATTTTCAATTTATTTGAAAACTCCTTTTTTAAAGCACAAAAAACAAAAATCTTATACGTTGAAAAAGTACATTTTTTCTTAAAAACGTCGCCATTTTTTTTTAAATCAAAATTTTTAAAAATCCCTCGTTCACGGACTAGACAATACAATATACTAACTAAACTTTTTTGAATTTTGGATTTCGGATGAACCGTTTTCGAGAAATCTTGTCCACCGCAAGACACCATCGAAAAAAGACGATCCGGGAATTCGGCTATAACATTTTTGTTATGTAATATTTTTTTATGAAAAAATTTAATTAAGTACCCAGAAACATGTACTAAACAACGTCGGTAAAACATTTTTCATAAATATTTTCTATGGTGTCAAAAAAAAATCGATAAAAATCCATATTTTTGGGCGGTACAACTGTATATAACCCCTTAAAGCAGTGGTCGGCACCTCAATACATGGATATGATTTGAACGCATTAGTGTTAGTAACGAATAGCAGAAAGTAGGATGTAAGCATGACGTTTCACACATTTATACTGTGTGTGTGTGTGGCAGAGCTCGGGCAGAGAAATTTCCTATGCCCTCGAGATAGGGCCGTGCCGACCACTGCTTTAAAGGTTGCTTAGAGTGTGATTGGAAGAGATGAGTACCGTGTATATAATAGTCGGGAAACTCGGCTATGGCCGTCGCTTCTTGTTTTTACTAAACATTTTTTTTCTGTCTCTCTCTTTCTATGCAAAATCAGTTTCTGTCTATCTCAGTTTTAAAATTGTCGATGTCAAATTTAGATTTAGGAATCGCCGACTATATCCTAAAGTTGTCATATAAAGGATTAATCGAACTAACTATGTAACTAACATAACTATGTTTTTCAAAGTTTGACACTTGGAATTAGATTATATGGATTCTACTTTTGGCCAATCGGTGCGACCTTCCTATTTCCATAAGGATCAGGCGAAGATATATATATCCAATTATAGATATATATAATTGGGCAATTGAAGATTACCTTTGGTATTTTTAAAGATAAAAGCTTGGGACTTTTTTTTTAATTTTTATTCCAAGAAATTGATCTTATAATGAAATTCTCATAAGGATCGGCCAACTATATCCGATATTTGCCATATATATCCGATCTTAAGTGCAAGGGTATATCAACTTGGGTTCCCCCCTAAGTAATCCTTCCTTTCGTGTTTAAATAAGAAATATATCGACTATTTTAAACTTGAGCCACTACTGACGATTTTTTATGTTTGGAAATATTTTAATTTAAGGCCGATGTCTCAGTAAAAAGAGAAAACTATGTATGAATGAGTTCCAAACGAATGTTTTTGTTTTTTTATACTCTTGCGGAGTGTATTATAATTTTAATCAAACTATTTTAATCTATTATTTTATACATATAAATATTTATATATACAGGGTGGCCCATCTAGCGTTTGCTTTTTAAACTATTGATAATTTTGACTTTGACATTTTGAATATCATTGTCAATGTGTCAGATATTTACTATGAGTTTACTAGAGTAATAGAAGTTAGTATTTAGTAAGTTTACGCTCGAAAAAAATTGGGAAATATTAAAAACTTTCTTCCAATGTGGAGAGTTTTCAACCGAAACTGCAAGAAAATTGCGGTCAAAATTCGGAAAAAATAAAGCGCCTTCCATACAGTTTGTGGATAGTTTTGTGACTCGTGTGCGTGAGACTGGATCGTTGCTGGATAAAACAAGACGCTTACGTGCTCGTCCAGTTCGGTCGGTCGAAAATATCGCTGCGGTGGCCGAAAGTGTCAATGATAATCCGTCGACGTCAACTCGGCACCTGGGTCAAGAGTTGGACATTTCGCGCACTTCCCTGCAACGGATTTTAAACAAAGACCTCAGTCTAAGGCCATATACGATTTAATTGGTTTAGCAGCTTAAGGGGAGGTTCTTTTGGATTTTTTTGAAAAAATCGTTTTTTTTTTTTTTAATAAAATGAAAGTTACATATGTGTAGGACAAGGGTGGGCAAGCCCATGGCTCCTCGGGCTCTCAAGGCTCAAGGCCAGACGATCGAGTCGCGCGATCAATGAGCCGTGAAGATTTACAAAAACAATGCTACACAAATTCCGAGGCAGGTAGCGGACCCGACCCCGCGGTCCCGAGTTTGCAACAACAATTATTAGGGGTCCGTTTGCGCACAACGCGACGACAACCATCGCGAGGGTGGTGGTTGTTGTTGTAATTTGTTGTTTGGGCGAGCTGCGGCTCCGACCGTTAGATTTCGTGCCCACCACTGGTGTAGAATATACGTGCCAAGGGATATTTCGATACGACGCGTATTTCTTGAGCTAGAGCGTTTCAAACATACCCATGATAACAAGAAAGCTATCTAAAGGCAAAATTTCTAAAAACTTTAAACCCGTTTTTCTCGGAACCATGTTTTCAAAGCTCTTGTCGCGCACAGGGCTCGTTCTATTGATCCGATTTCCTTCATTCAAAAAATTTAAAAGTACGTACTTTTTTGTATGCTTTATACCTAAAATTGGCATAAAAAATTGTTTATTTATAATTTTTAAACGAGATCAAATTGAAAAAAAAAGAAAGTGTCAATTTTTTTTTTAAACGTCCATGAAGTTGGTTTATTTTTACCAAAATTAATTGTCGTTAGGTATAAGTCATAGGAAATTCCATCAATTTTAATAAATTATATACATTTCAAATTTAAGTTCACTACCAGCGGCCCTACACTCGACAAAGCAGAAAAATAGAGGTCTACGAGATCCGCCATTTTGAATTTCCTGAATATTGAATATTTTTTGTAATCGTTAATAAACAACGAATCAAAAGTTCAAAAGCATAAGTTCGTATGTCTTTTCATTTTCCCGCAATCCATTCTCAAAGTTTGCTTAATTTTCGGAAAAATTCAAAAGAACCTCCCCTTAAGCCGCATGACCATCCGCATGACGCGTTTTCCGTTGACGACCTAAGTTGAAGTCGCCATCAGGGCCATTGAGGGCCATACATAGAAAAAGTGTTTAAAAATTGGCTCGACCGAATGGGTTTCTGTAAAGCCAACAGATGCAGCCTCAGAGACTATGAACGAAGTGGTGTTTTATCCAATAAAAAAAATGGAATTTTTTTTTTTTTAATATATACTTGTTTTTTTATAGTATTTTAGAACGAAAATCTTTTGTGGGCCACCCTGTATAAACTATATGTACATATTTTCTTGATCAGTATCATGCTTGTTATAACAAAGTTTGAGTGCCCGAATGGGCTAAGGTGCTGAGCACGTGTTTTTCGGTGCGTCTCACTTGAGCTGTAAATTAGAGCTGTAAACAATTCAATCTTTTATTTGATGTAATCGATCTTTTTGGATGAGCGAAAAACTCGATTCTTTTTTTAGGGAATCGATGCCTCGGAAAGTTTGGTCAACTTACAAAAAAAATTTTCAGGCGAATCGAATTGGATAAATGTAAATAACCGAAAAAATTATTTTAAAGTTATAAAACTTATGTAAACTAATAAATATCTCAAAATATATTGTTATTGAATTTTATTTTTGTTTGCAAAGGTAAATTTTCTATTTTCCTCACCACGTCTTAAGCAAAAAATGCTTTTTTCGTGGAAAAAAAATTTTGTTTTTCGTTTTCGATTTTAAATCGATTTAATCGATCTTTTCAAAAATTGAATCGAAAATAATCGATTCTTAAAAGGTAGAATTGTTTACAGCTCTACTGTAAATATGTATGTTCCATTTCAAAATAATTCCATTCCATTGATAATAAAATATTCCTTTTAAAAAATTGTTTTCAGTGCTGGCAATTGCACTCTTTTATAAGTGCAATTGCACTTCTGAATAAGTTCAGGAGAGCAAAGTTTATGCAGAAGGTGAAATGGTTCGTTGGACAAAAAAAAAGTTTTGTTTCGTCGCGCCGTGTTATTACTATTATATATATTATATACCTTAAAAATATTTTAAATATCTTACCCTTAAGAGGCGTTTCAATGGATGGGCTTCCCATTTCTTTCTTGATCTCTTTACCAACACCATTACACAACTTAATTACTGGAGTGCTAGCACAAAAATGCATATCTTCAAAAGTTGTCAGACATGGAGATTTGAGAAAATGACTAGGTGAGAACGGTAAAGGTTTAATTGGTGTATTATCATGTTTGCAGTTCACACCCGAAGTATGAAGTTCTGGACCAGGAATGTTTATCCGGGAACGTTTTAATATGTTGGGAGTGTGGCGAGCAAGTGGCAGTTTTCCAGCAGAATTATTAACGCTCGATAGAATCATACCATGAGGTTCAGCTAGGCTAGATTTTTGTTTCAAGGGATTTAATAAGTTCTTACTATCTTCAGAGTTGAAACCCAATTTAATGTCAGCTAACTCTTCAGTATTTCTTTTCTGCTGAAAATGTGATTGTTCTTTACTGAAGCCACCAGATTTTATTAAAGTAATAAGATGGGTTCTTGAGCTCCTTAAGTCATTTTCAGAGGAATTATTGGACGTTCGCGCCGCATCATATTTTCGACGCATTGTTGAGTTCCAATGATTTTTTATAGCATTATCCGTACGTCCTGGCAGGAGTTTTGCTATTTTCGCCCATTGATTTCCAAGTTGAGTGTGGGCCTGATAAATAATTTGGTCCTCCTTTTCAGTCCATGCTGATTTTTTGATATTTGGATTGAGATGGTTGTGCCATCTTTCACGACATTGTTTTCCAATACGCCCATTAAGATATCTCGCTATCAATGTCCACTTTTTGGGTCCAAAGCTCCGTACAAGTTCAATAACTTTTTGGTCTTCGTCACGCGTCCATGGACCTTTTATAAGCTCTGGATTTAAGACTTTGGCCCATCGCTGCTGTACCTGTTGTTCTAGCCTATCCTTAAAACTTGGGGCTATTATTTCCCAATTTTCTCCATGCTCCTCAACTAAAGATTTCAGCAAGACATCTTCCGATTTTGACCATCTTTTCCCGAACCCATAATTTGGATGGCATGGCCCAATGTTGGTGACTTTTAAATCTTTCTTTGTCGAAGACTGATCTGAAGCATTTATGATGAAAGATTTTTGACATTCTATTGAGTATTGAAGAGGATCCGAATAATTTTCATGGTTTATTGAACCCATTCCAGAAAATTCACTGGTACCTTGAGATTCTGAAACAATTACTTCTGGTCCTTCATTAATATTCTCAAAGGATTCGGATTCCTCAGAGTTATTAGAATTTCGATCACAGTCTAGATCAAAGTGGTTATTTCTCATATCTGTCATCTTGTGATAAGTTTAATCAGTTTTTTCTATAGGTTTACAAAAGTGAAAAATTTCTGGATCCGTTCGAGCTGATCGCAAATAAAAATGAACGTTGCCCGTGCAATATAGGCAATTATAAATATTTACAGTGCCAGCATTTTCCCAATTGTGGAACTGAGTGTAATGTGCGCAAATATCACTAAAGGAGTAACTTTTAAATTGAGTTTTACACGTCAAACACTGGATCAGCTCACCAAGATGGAGTCGATCTACGCAAAATAATGGAAAGGTAGCATCACTTTCCGTGTACTCAAATTGTTCATCTATGTTGCTAACTTTGAACAAATAGCTACACGTGCGTTTTTCATGAAAATTTGACTCTCTGTTCATTGACATCCTCTTCAGTCTTTATACACATTATTTTATTTTCTTTGTGTTCTAATTGATGAATGATATATTCTGGCGTCGATTATTAGGTAATTATCGAAAAGTTTATACACACATGTCAAACAGAAAATATTTATTTTGTTCGTTTTTGAAACAAAGGGAAAGAGTTATATTGTATTGCAATACAAAAATTCTTCCATTTGGTATTTAAATTAAAAAACCTATGGTCCAGTTTTTTTACATATGAAAAAAAACAATCAAATTAGAAATCGTCTTTGAATGAATAATTATTTAGAATCATTTCAGCTTAAATATAAATATATAAATATGTGTTAAAATATATTTGAGTGTGAAAACATTTCAGCCTTGATTGACGCTCGACTTGCTAGGCAAATAAGACACTTGCAGAAGGCACTAGCTCTCAAGAATTCCAGTTAAATAATAAAAGGGCGCTAAAGGGAAATTTTTGTAAAACAACAAAATTCTATTGCTTAATATATTATACTTTTGCATATTTGTTTGCATAATTTTTTATTGATATGTATATTTTTTATTTGAAGTCTAGTGCTCAGACCGAAATTCGCATTTAAAAATTTACATGGGTATGCCAACCAACACCAATGAAAGTTTTGCACGCCTAGATTCCAGTGTGAACTAACATTTTCAAGTTACGCATTACGGTCATAACCTGTGTTGCCGTTATATCCTTTTTTCCGGACAGATCTGTCCGGTTTTTAACTGCGTCAGCCCGAAAAAATTTAAAACATCCCCTAGCCTTTTATCTGTCCTTTTTTTATTTTGGCCTGGCCTTTTTATCTGCTCTTTATTTTTGTGTAAAGTGCTGAAAAGTAATCCAAATGTACATTACTTTTATATTAATAGCAGCACTTGATAATTAATGCAACCCTGTTGTAATCGTAAATCGTATGTATCGATTAATACCATTTGTTACTTTTATTGTGAAATTTGTGCGGGAAAGATGCCAAAAGAAATTTACAAGCAAAAGTTTTGTGATTCATGGCTAAATCCACCGTATCTGGTGCAGTGGATGTGTCGTGCAAATGCAGAAGTTCAGCGTGTTATTAGCCAAGCTAATTTGGTAAAAACCAAATTACGCAACCAACTGCAAATAGAAAATTTAAATGCAATTTTATCGATGAGATAAATATTTTAATACTCTTTTGTATCACAAATTTATTTAAATTGTTTTTTTTTTTTTTAGGTTTGGGCTACGCAAGAAAGGCGATGTTCTAAACGATTTGGCCACCCATAAAGAGTGATATTACATAAAATTTATGGAAAAAATATTTTGTCTTGTTTTTTGTCCGTTTTTTTTAATTTTTGTCCTTTTCTATCCTTTTTTTATAATCAATCTAGCCTTTTTCTGTAACATGCTGACGGCAACACTGGTCATAACGGCCAAATTCAATTAAATGACAGCTATCAAACTCCATATAAAAAAACGGTGTAAAAAAGGAAGAAGAATTTTTTGCCTCCTAGATTTTGCGGGTACTGAGTTGACGAAAATTTTTGTTATCGATTTTAATCGTGTTGCCGATTAAAAAAAAGTTTTTGGGCGAACTGAGTACTTGGTTTAGAAACTAAAAACGCTTAAAAAAAATAGCCGACGAAGTAAAGTTAATTAATTCGATATGGTGTAAATTATAAATCTAATTAAATTAGTAAATACACTTCTCGTCATTTTGCTATTTTCATTTTGAAAATATCGGTTTTAAATTATATATTTATACCAAATAAATAAAGGCGATACGGTCCTTTGTTTTGTTTTGACAGCTGATAGTTTTTGACTTGTTTGACATCATGTTGACCATGGAAAAAAACGATTTTCGTTCCCTAATAAAACATTATTTTTTGAGAGGCAAAACAGCGACGGAATCTAAACAAAAGTTAGATAAATACTACGCGGCTCATTCTCCTTCAGATTACACCGTGAAATATTGGATTCGAGAGTTCCGCGGTGGCCGAAACTTCACTACCGGTTACACAGGAAATCCATGAAATGGTGTTGGCTGGCCGGAAAGTGAAAGTTCGCGAGCTAGCAGAGGCCGAAAGCATACAGGGCATACTGAGCATACAGGACATATTTTGAGCGATATTTCGTAGATGAAAAATTATCCGTATGTGCTGCATGGCCGCGTATGCTGATTCCAGACCAAAAATACAGCATGCTGGTGCGGAATCGGGTGGATTTTTGGCGTCGATTGGTGATTGTTTATGAAACCTTCATCCAATAATACACACCAGAAAACCGAATGACTGCTCAGCAATGGACTAAAGCCGGCACGAGTGCTCCGAAGCGGCCGAGCGAGGTTAAACGGGTCGGAAAAGTCATGGCGTCCGTTTTCTGGGATTGTCGTGGTATACTCTTCGTGGACTATCTCGAAAAAGGAAAAACCATCAATAGCGGGAACTACTGTGCATTATTGGAGCGATTGAAGACCAAAACTGCTGCGAAACGGCCTCACATGAAGCGAAAAAAATTTTCTTTTTGCAGGACAATGTACCGGCACACAAGTTTTACAACCATGGCTAACATCAACGATTTAGGACTCCAAATGCTTCCTCATGCACCTTATTAGCCCGATTTGGCTCCCTCGGACTTTTACCCTTCCCAAACCTCAAAAGATGACTCATCAATAAAAAATTCAGCTCGCGGGAGGAAATCATCGATGCTGCAGAGGAGGAAATCATCGATGCTGTTTTACAGACCTTCCGGAGAATTACGTTTCAGATGGGATCAAAAAGTTGAAAAATTGCTGGAATAAGTGTATCGACCTAAAAGGAGACTACAATGAATTAAAAATAAAACAGGAAAGGAAAGCTAGCTTCGGGCGGAGCCGAATTTGATATACCCTTGCATTTAAAACCGGATATATATCGCAAACATCGGATATAGTTGGCCGATCCTTACGAGAATATGATAATATAACCCAATTTTTTATAATATAAAATCTAAAATAAAGTCCCAAACTTCTATCTTCAAAAATACCAAAGTTGGTATTTCTACCAAAAACCATTTCCGATCGTTCAGTTATATGGCAGCTATAAGATATTGTCAGCCGATCGTTATAAAATTTGGTACGTCGGATTAACAGACCAAAGATATAATCTGTACTAAGTTCCAGCTTTCGATCTTCAAAAACACAAAAGTTGGGTCATTCCCGATCAATCAGTTATATGGCAGCTATTGGATATAGTCGGCCGATCCTTATGAAATTTGGCATGTCGTTATGTTTTACCTTTCGAAAAATAGCTTTCATGTTAAATTTGAACTCTCTTACTCAAAAAACACCAAAAAACACCATTTCCGATCAATCAATTATATGACAGCTATAGGGTATAGTCGACCGATCCCGGCCGTGCCGACTTATATACTGCGTGCAAAGAAAAGAAGGGTGTGTGCAATGTTTCAAGTCGATAGCTTTAAAACTGAGAGACTAATTCGCGTAGAAACAGACAGACAGACGGACAGACGGACATGCTCATATCAACTCAGGAGGTGATCCTGATCAAGAATATATATACTTTATAGGGTCGGAAATGTCTCCTTGACTGCGTTGCACACTTATGGACAAAATTATAATACCCTCTGCAAGGGTATAGAAATGAAAACATCTACAATGCTTCTATTTATTAAAATTCCTTAAAACTTTTAAATTAAACAAGCAAAAAATAAAAAAATTCTTAGAAATAAATATAAATTAACAATGGTAATATAAAAGCTTTCTCAAAGCGCTTAAAGCTGAGTTGATCGATGGTTACGGCAAAGATGGGAGTGTGTTCTTATGACCATGACCCTTTCTTTCATGGTGCACCTATCGGAAGAGGTCTGGCTGGAGCTAGCTTATCTAGAGACGTGGTTTCTCTGGCTCTTCCAATGCACCCGCCAACAATAACTTACAAGTTTGACGATAAACAACACTTAAACATGCACAACATGAAAATTTACACAATATTAAAGTCGACAAGCAATTAGTATCTAACCTAAGAGGTTGAGGCGTCAATGCGGGGGGGCATGTCACTTGATCTTTTTTTAAAGCGGATGGGCCATATCATGCGAAAATTTCTGCAGTTCTGTCGATTCCTCCATTTTCTCTGTGCTACCAGGTCGAAAAGAGCCTTTCAGCCTACACTTTGCTAAGGAAATGCCTACTAGTTCTTTCTCCGGGAGAAGTGGGTTGCCCTTCTTAATTCGTCAGCGGCGCAATTTTCCTCGTGGTTCCTATGTCAGGGCACCCATATGAGGTGGATGTCATGCTGTTCCGCCATTTCGTTGCAAGATCTGCGACAGATCTGCGATTCACAGTCCTAGAGTTCGAAGAACATCCGTCATGAGCCCTGATGCCGCTTCACTATCAGAGAAGATAAAAATAGTTTCTTGAATGCCAGCAAGTGCTGGGAATCTAAGTACTTCCATGATAGCTATTACTTCAGCTTGGAACACACTACAGTGGTCGGAAAGTGTGAAAGAGACGTTTAGACAAAGACGCTCGCAGTGGAATCCGCCTCCCACCTGGCCATTCAAATTCAAACCATCCGTGTATATATGAAAGGAACCCGCTGGACCCAGGATTTTTGCGGCCCATTATAGCTTAAGGTGGTATGATCTGCGGGTATACAGTAGTCCGTAACGGCCATAAGCGTGAAATGGTATAAGCCCATTTTGGTGCCTTTAGTACTTTTCCATAGACCCGCCTCGCCTCATAGCCTGATTGCCGATAGCGTGCTACCTTGACCCCCAATATCTCTAAAGGCATTAGATCTACTATGATGTCTAAGGCGAAAGTTGGTGTGGTACGGAGAATACCTGTAATGCAGACCTCCACCATCCTCTTCGTTTTCGTAAATCTTTCCCTACTTATGAAATTTGTTAGGTCTAGTAGCCCCTGTATAAAGCCATCTTACTATTTTAGGAAATGTACCACATTTAAGCCCAATGACCTTGCGGCAGGTATAGGGCGCGATAGCCGCCTTATTAGCTGTACCCATAGTATTTTGCTTCCAGCCCAGTTTTCTTTGTAGCACATAGTACATAGTACATAGGAAGTAATGTACTTGGTGTTACCACTAAGGGTAAA